TCAAGTTACTGAGCAATTAGATTGTGTTGTACTTATGTATCAACTGTTTTGTTTGCTTTAGGATATTCAGACCAATGAGATAATTGGGTGTGGCACTAAGAGAGAGGGGTTATATTATGTGGATGACGTCGTTCCTGGCAGAGCCAATACGGTTCGAGCATCCCATACTAATAATTTACAAGAAGTGTGGTTATTGCATCGTCGCTTAGGACATGCTTCCTTTGGTTATTTAAGGTATATGTTGCCTAGTTTATTTCATGATATAAAAGAATCAGACTTACATTGTGAAGTATGTATTTTCGCGAAGAGTCATCGCGTTACGTTTCCTCCTAGTATGAATAAAAGATTGTTTCCCTTTGATCTTGTGCATTCAGATGTTTGGGGTCTCTTTCCTGTTAGTACAACGTCCGGGGTTAAATGGTTTATTACTTTTGTTGATGATTGCACTCATATGACGTGGATTTATGTGATGAAAAATAAAAGTGATGTAAGTATGGTGTTTCGATCTTTTTCTCAAATGGTAGCAACACAATATTCCTCTGTTATTAAAGTTCTCCGCTCTGATAATGGAGGAGAGTATATTGGTTTCGAGTTGTCCTGTTTCCTTTAGGATCAAGGAACTCTACATGAGACTAATACCCCACAATAAAATGGAGTTGCTGAGAGAAATAACCGTCATATCCTGGAGACTGCCCGTGCTTTGCTCATTGGTGCATCCGTACCTAAACGGTTCTGGCCTGAAGCCGTCACCTATGATGTGTATGTTATTAATCGTATGCCTTCCCGGGTTGTGGACTTTAGAACACCTCTTAAAGTATTGACCAATTTTGTACCCATCGTATCAAGTAATCATCTTACTCCTCGTATATTCGGGTGTGTAGCTTATGTCCATATCCACAAGGTTCATCGAAGTAAGTTAGATCTGTGTGCTCACCGGTGCGTTTTTCTGGGATTTGCTCCTCAACAAAAAGGGTATAAGTGCTACCATCCTGAAACTCGCCATATGTATATGACCATGGATGTTACTTTTTCTGAATCTGAGTTCTTTTATGCTTCGTTTTCAACACTTTCTGATCACCAGGGGGAGACTACAAGTGATCTTGGTTGGTTGGAAATATGTAGCTTAGGGGGAGCATTTGGTGATAAAAATATTAATGGAGACTCTCAGAAAGGAAATACCGAGAATGTGGATAATGGGTCTCAGCAAGAAGCCAAGTGTGATGCAGGAAAGGGTGTTATCGAGTGTGATGAAAGGCCAGGAAATTGCCGAGTGTGATGCAAGGGCTCAACAGGAAAGTGCCGAACCAGGTATGCCACTACAGCAGCAAGTAGTGGCCGAATCCATAACCCCCTCTCTCTCGAACTGCATAGTGCCACCCAATGTGTCTTCTCTGAATATTCCTGAGGTAAGTACTATAATGCTCATGTAACTAATCAAGATAATATTATCAATATATATCAGTTGCCGCCAAGGAAAAATCGTGGTGTTGCTCTTGATATGTTTTCTCCTGAAGGGAAAGTGAAGTATCCAATAGCTAACTATGTGTCATGCTCAAGCTTTGCACCATAACGTCAAGCATGGGTTAACAATGTGGAAGCAATCCAAGTACCAACCCGAGTTGAGGAGGCATTGAGGGATCCTAAATGGGTTGCTGCAATGGATGAGGAAATGATGACACTACATAAAAATGATACATAGGAGATAATGGAGCTACCCAAAAGAAAGAAGCCAGTTAGGTGTAGATGGGTCTTTACAGTTAAATACAAGGTGGATGGATCGGTAGATAGATATAAAACAAGGTTAGTAGCAAAGGTTATACTCAAACTTATGGTATTGATTATCAGGAGACATTTTCTCCAATAGCAAAGATGAATACGATACGTGTTCTGATTTCTTTAGCTGCAAACTTAAATTGGCCACTAAAACAGTTTGATGTGAAAATTGCCTTTCTTCATGGGTACTTGGAAGAAGAGGTAGATATGGATCTTCCTCTAAGGTACAATGCCAGAGGGAAGACCAGAGTGTGTAGATTGCGAAAGTCACTCTATGGACTTAAGCAATCACCTCGTGTGTCGTTTGGTAGATTTACTCAGGTTATAAGGAGGATTGGGTATTATCAAAGCCATTCAGATCATACATTATTTGTAGAGCGGAGAAGTGGTAAAGTGACTACTTTAATCATTTATGTAGATGACATGATAATAACTGGTGATGATTCAGAATAGATGGTGAAGCGTGAACAAAACCTAGCCGCATTGTTTGAGATGAAGAGTTTGGGAGACCTAAAAATTTTTCTTGGCATGGAAGTCGCTCAATCATCTAGAGGTATTTTCTTGTCTCAGCGTAAATATGTTCTAGATTTATTAAAGGAAACAGGCATGTTGGGGTGTAAACCTGTGGACACTCCTATCGTAGAGAAGCATTATTTGGGGATTTATCCAGATCAGGAATCGGTTGATAAAGGTAGATATCAAAGACTGGTGGGGAGATTGATTTATTTATCTCACACTCGTCCAGATATTGCGTATGCGGTAAGTGTGGTCAGTCAATTCATGCACTCACCAAGTGTGGATCATATGGCGATAGTAATGAGAATCTTAGCATACTTGAAGTCTGCTCCGGGTAAAGGAATTTTGTATGAATGTCATGGACATATGAGGATCGAGGGGTTTACAGACGCTGATTGGACAGATGATGTGACTGATAGAAGATCTACATCTGGGTATTTTACATTCGTTGGAGGTAATTTGGTTACTTGGCAAAGTAAGAAGCAAAATGTGGTATCAAGATCTTCTGCTGATCGGGGAATGGCACATGGTGTGTGCGAGATGCTTTGGTTGCGAACGTTACTTTGGAGTCTTGGTTTCAAACAAAAGGAGGCAATAAAGTTGTATTGTGATAATAAGTCCGCTAAAGAGATAGCCGAGAATCTGGTACAACATAACAGGACTAAGCATGTTGAAGTGGATAGACATTTTATCAAAGAAAAGCTGGAGAAGAAGATTGTGTCAATACCATTTGTGAACTCAGATGAACAACTTGCAGATGTTCTTACCCATGCCGTATGTAGCAGAAGGTTTGGTGATTCACTTGTCAAGTTGGGCATACTTGAGAGGGAGTATTGGAAAAAGTAAATATTTAGGAGAAAAGGAATGTAAATATTTTTGTAATTACTAGAGTCATTGTTTAGGAAAGGTATTATGTCCTTTATTTGTTTCCCTTTGTAACAAGGATGGTATGTAACTTTTATTCAGAATTATGGAATACAGAAAAATTATCCCATAAAATTCTATTGGCTTACCACCAATTGTTCCATTTTTTAAGATAAAAAAAAATTAAACATCTAATTTTACGAAGGTCCCAGGCTGTACTATTTCTCTTTCTGCAACAAGTATTAAAGGTTCAACAAACCAGGGAAGAACTTGTAACAATTAAAATTGATAAATACATGCATCTTAATTTATTTGTTGCTTTTAGTAAAAAGAAGCAAAATGAAACAAAACATGTGTCAAAATGAACGTCTCAATAGTTTTTTTTTTTTTTTTGTAAAGATAATCTATGAATGATTAACTAAAATATAAACATGCTGCTATACTCATCTCCCCACCCACCAAAAAAAGTTAAAAAACTTAAAATGTTATTTTCTCACTCACTATTATTCCCAAAATAACCTCTAATATATATCTAAATTCTTTTTGAAGTTTCCACAATAATAAATACTAGAGACCCAAGCCTCCACTCAGGCTTCCCTTCTCAATTTTTATTCCGGTTAGAATTCCACACTATATTCATTTCCCAAATCTACCCGATTGCAACTCTCCTTCGTTCCCTCTCTCCAAATCCCCAACGCAACACCCTTCCCAATTGATAAACAAATGTACAGAAAAATCACTATAGAATATATATATATATATATATATATATATATATAAAGACAGTTATAAATAGTGGACATGAACTTCCATTGAATTGATTCTTTTTATTCTTTCTTGTTTTTCAAGTTAATTACATGAGTGATGGGGCCCTTTGTTCATAAGACATGTACACATGATTATTAAAATTATCAAAGTATTCATATCCGGATGTAATTTGCATTGTTTGATCAATGTTGTATTATTACCGAGGACCGTAGCTCAAGTTGTTGAAAGCATTCTCTTTTATCTGAGATGTTGCCAGTTGAAAATGATGTGAAAATCTCAGATTTATCTAGGAAAGTTATTTCTGTATACCATTTTTCACTTCATGCACATCTCATGTTTGTTTTACATAATTCATTTGCCGTTATTTATACACTTTGAGATATATTTAGAAAAGTAATTTCTGCACACCTATTTTTTTTATTTGCACACTTGTGTTTATTTCCAGAAAAGAGGATCCTCGCCGAATCCTTTTCCCCGAGATCCTCTCGCAATCATGATCTTTCATCGTACATCGTGCAGTCAGTTTTCGTTACGTACTATTTATATTTAATTTTAAATTTTAAAATTTAAAATGATTTATGATCACACGAAGTACGATGAAATGTTACAATCATGGATTCCTAGGATCTCTAGGAAAAATATCCGGTAAAGATCATTCTTTACCATTTTCCTTTATTTCCATGTAGGCGTGTACGGAAATCATTCCACATTGTTTACACTTTATTCCTTGTATTTCGTAATCAAAGCATTGTAGTGATGGTGTCTTTTCCAAGTTCCATTTCAAGATGAAAAGGCTGTGTGATGAGACTCCTTCCTTTTGCATCACGTGTACTCCCGAGCGTCTAGTACGTGGCTGAAAACCAAACCCTTTTTTTCATGCACTAGTTTTCACTTTTCTGCTTTCACTGTCTCTCCAATTATATGCCAATGCTAACGACAACGACAATCGTCTCTCTAATTACATGTTAGCAATCTCTCTCTAATTATATGTCAATGCCAACGACAATTGTTCACGTGCATGCGACCAACAGAAGATGATGTTGCACACGCATGAAATGGCCGATGAGCACATTCGTGACTTGACTTTCAACTGTAGATGCATGTAAATCCCATATACCGAACATTTTTGTGTACAAACAATTAACTCAAGACCAGACCAAACTCGTAAAGTAATCAATTCTACATTCATAAAAAGCTCAAAACGAAAGGCAATTTTCGCTACCAGTGTTGAAACAACTTTTAGTAAACAGAAAAAAATTACAAAAATGAGTTCCTATGATGCTCCAGGGAGATTAATCCTACCGATTGGGGTCGGCCCTTCCTTACTACAGATCCTGCTTGCTCTTACTTCTTTTCATCTTTGCCTTAAACCTCGACTTCACCATAAGCGTCTGTACCGTATTTACAAAGTTCCCAACTGCCATTAAAACTAACAGCACGCCGCAAAAACTCACCTGCCAAAAATATTTTTCCCGTCACATATGGTTCCACTTTTGAGTAAACTACACCAAGTTCTCTTGATGTTTCGTGAAGATGTAATGTTAGCCCTTCTGTTTTTGAAAATTACAGGAGGCTCATCAAACTGTCTAATTTCTGAAGACAACATGATGCTTTTTCAATTTTGTTCTTGTTCACATAAATCAGAGGAAGCTTTCGGTAAAAATTACCTGCCATTCCGAAACAACGCCAATAAAAGCAGTTGTGAGCAACTGTATTCCGACATATGCCTCAAAACCCTACAACAAGAAGCACAAACAATTATTCAGTTATTATTGCATTTAAGTCACTGGATAGAATTAAAAAATGGAGCAGACTTGGTCTGCATTGCATTTCATTGAAAGAACGAATCACTACTTACGCAACTTTTCCCACCCACCCACTTGCACATCATACATAACCTATTTCAGTTTATCTGTGGTGTACCAGTCCAATCTCTATCTTGCACGAAGGCAAGCATAAGTGATACAACCTATCATTTTGTGCTGCAACTTAAAAGAAAACTACTCAATCGAAAGTCTACAGACTATGATTTTTCTTCACCAATTCGTTCTGCTGCATATCATGCAAACTCCTAAGACGCATGATTAAGTCAATGCAGTCAGTTAACAAGGTTGCATTTAGCATGGTTAAATCATACATCTACCAACTGCCCATGAGCTTTAGCTCAAGTGGGATTGGGATAAGGTGGGGTAGCGGTAGATCCTTAGTTCAAATTCTGCCATATGTAAAAACTAATCAAGTTGTCCAATCACCTGTAAAACAAATAGTATTGGACATAGAATCCACAATTGACCATCTACGCCCGCTGTTTCTCCCCAGACCACATCCATTCTTTTGGCCTGAAATTGCAAAACAAATATATAAAACGCCAGAATCAGGCTTAAATTTTGTAATCAAACAATTTATCTTTTTAATGGAACCTTTCCCAATGCAATTCGAGTATAGAGTCTCTGGCGTTGATATCTATTTTGTAAAAGCATAGCAACTCCTTGCATCATAGCCCATTGTAGGAAAAGTTGCACACCTCTCTGGACAAGATTTAACAAAATCATTAACGGCGCCAAAGCTATTAACACTAACACACAATAAAACAAAAAAGTTACCTGCTTTTGGGAACAATTTGGTTGTCCTTTAATCTCCCATGTGAGACTAACAAGGGCCATAAACACAGCACAATAGTGATGGTATATCCACCTGCACAAGCATATGAGTATAAGAAATTCGTTTGTTCAGTTACAATGCCAATTAACCAACCAAAATAGATGCATGAATGACCATTTTGACAACATATGGGTTTGTCGTGAATTAAGCTCCACCAGAAGAATGAATGCATGGGATGACAAAAGAAATCATATCCGAGTTAACGTGGTAAGTTGTGAAAAATTATAGTACCAAGTCATAAGATTGACTATGAATTACAATTGCAAACAACGTTTCCTTGGTTTATGTACCTTCAACCCAAATCACAAAAGTGGGCACAAGAAATTTCTGTGATAAGTTATGAAAAATAATAGTACTAAGTCATCAGATTGACCATGAATAACAATTATAGACAAAGTTTCCTTGGTTTTATCCACCTTCACACCTCAATAAATGATACCTCAAAAAATGTGACTTTTACATTACTTAGGAAAAGAGAGAACAGATATTACAATTACTCTGAAATTATATATGGATCCTAAACAGTCCTTACGTGATTACAAGTACTAGTTGAACCAACACAATTTGGAACCAATATATATAAACAAACGCCTGCATGCGCACACAGAACTTGACTTAATTCAGCTTCATTATTGTAAAGAAACTACAGATGTTATCGACCCAAGTTGAGCATAAGAGGTCACAAACTTGGTTATTTTATCTTGTAAACCAGTGTAGAGGAATAACAGCCAGGGAAAAGGAAAAAATGTCGGAGGAAAGATGCTATGTATTTACCATGGACGAATATCACTTCCATTTACTCTCAGTATGTTTTCTCGCAGGGCCAAACCAGTGTAGAGGAATAACAGCCATGCCTTGATAAGCAAAAAAATCAAGTCAAATCCATTATGAAATCATCCATATAGACACAAATATCAGCACATTCAAATCATACGATATGAAACACGTGATCTCAATGTACCTGGTAAGCCTGAACTGGAAACGCTGGCAAACATCCATCCCAAATCCAAGATCTTAGTATAAGTAGTGTTGCTGGAAAAATAAGGAATAGCAGGGCAGTTCTATCCTGCTCCAGAGTAACATCATTGTATGTAAGCTGCTCAAACTATTTTTGCTTGACACTCTTTGTAGTCAAGATGGAGAAAGTAGCTATATGAGATAAAGAGTAACGAAGCAGCATGAGGGAAAGCATACTATATGAGTCAATTCTACTCTCAGGGAGCAGATCTCAACGAAAACAAGAAGGCATAATTACAAAAAGGGGGCAAGTAAAACATTTATGACCTTGATGTTATGTTGATTAGCATAAATCACTAAGATGAATGATAAGAATTTCCAAGCACACTTATTTATCTCTGATGGAAGAATAAGTAGTCAATTTAACCTCAAGGGCCTTCTAGTTGTATTGAAACGTATACCTATTGCAATTCAAGATAGCTTGTTAGTGAGAGGAAATTAAAAAAAAAAAAAAAAAAAAAAGACAAAAAAGTCATGGAATGAAGGAATAAACCCCGATTATCCTGAAATCATAGAGATCGTTTATGTCACATGTGTCATTCAAAGGGCTATTAAAAAAGGGAAACAAAAACCATCCTTTGAAAAATAATTCAAGAAAGAGACAAAGTGGTCTTTTTTTGTACGTGAAACCACTTAAGCATGAATAAGTCTTAGGTTCTTCCTAGGCCCTATTGACTGTAATTAGTTGGCTCAGTTGGTAACCATGAACTAAAGGCATGATCCCAATAACTGATTCTTCACTTAGCATATTTAAAGTAAGGAATACTATTGTTACCTCCAATGCAAGATGAATATATTCCACCAGTTTTCAAAACATTGTGTACATTTAGCTCACGATATATGTTCTATACCAGAATAAAAAGCAAATTAGGAGAAAAGCGTAAAGCAATAAGACGTATTACTTACTCTGTAAGCGTTGTATTCCTCTTTAACCTTGAGTTGGATATCTTTGCTAGAGGAACGCACATTGATAGGACCGAGAAACATCCTTAGAAACCCTCCTCCTGCGTAAATTTTAACCCTTTAACATACATACAACGGCTCAATCCAAGCAATTAACACAAAACTAAAGCAAAAACCTCAGATTAAATGATCAATGAGGCAGTTAATGAAAAGGGTACCCTGAGATTTCCCAGGATGAAACGAAGCGGCCTCGCCATCCACCAACACACATGTGGCCCTCTGCAAATCTTCTTCCAGCTGCCATTAACATATCCATCCAAAACACCCATAAATTCCAAACATTCCATTTCAATTTCATGAAAAATTACAATCCCGGAAAGCAAAATCACAAAATGGACGATGAATGGATCCAGGAAATAAGCTAAATCAGCAATTTCAGCAGTTGGATTTACATGCACAGACATGCAGAAGCAGCAGAAGGATACAAAAACCAGAAAAGGGGTCGAAAGAACTTACCTTTTCTGCTAACTTGGGATCCAAGGCCTTGCTGGAAAGCAGTGAATAAAGCTGGGAGCGGAGGCGGCGGATGGAGGAATCGAGAGATTGGGCGCGCTGGCGGAGGGATTGCTCGTCGGTGGCGGCTCTGGATACAAAGGAAGCAGCTTTGTCCTGCAGCTCCTTCACCTCCTCCACCACCTTGGCCACTTGTGCTCGTATCTCCTCGTCACTGCCGGAAGAAGAAGAAGAAGTGTTCCTCTTGGCATCCCCCATCGCCAAAATCTTCTTCCTTTTCTGCTTCAATCGACTGCGTTCAATGCAATTTAATCCTTTCAATCGAAACAATCAATCTCCTCCTCCAGCTTCCGCGGTCCACCCAAAATGTTTATATAATTTTTATGGGGTTTTTGGGTTTGGGGAACACGACCGTCACAAATACACACGCACGAACCCCCACACCGGTGGTAGCCAACAAACTAGAAGCCCAGCGGAGGTTGTAGATGCAAACACTGTTTTTTTATTTTTTATTATTATTATTAACCATTTTGTTTTTATTCTTTTTTTCACTCTCTTCCTCTCTTATTCCATCCAGTAAAAAATAAAATAAAATAAAAAAAATAAAAAAATAAAAAGAAAAAACCTCAACTCCCTTCATGGATATGCACAAAGGTTTTATGAATAATTTTAGATTGTTTTTGAACTTTTTTGTTTGAGAGATATTTTTGTCCTAAATTTTTTCGTGAAGTCGGTGACCTCAAAAAGGCCTCCTGGCTTTATATGTAGAGAGATATTACGATTTCAGTCCGTATGTTTTATTTGACATGATTTATGAGATGAAACATGATTTAGTGCTCTTATCTTAAACATACAACAGGTTATTGACCATAAGTCACATGTATCATATGACTCGTATGTTTTAAACAATTTTATTATACAACAATGTATGATATATTTGGCAAATTAAATGATAAAATGTCTTTATACACTTTAAAAAAAATAAACTAAACTCATCTCATCTAATGATTAAAAAACAAATGTGCAATATACATTGTTTGGTGCATGAATTTCTAATTTTCAATGTATTTTCACTTTAATAAATGGGGGAAATTTTGGGATTTAAATAAGGCATCGGATTCACATCATTTTGTGATTGGAGCTATTTGTTTGATTTCTTCCTCCTGCATAAGTTGTGTTATTTATTAAATTATTAGATCTATGTTTGCTTGAATTTTGATCCTAGTGACATCTAAGTCAAGTGTCACTCTCACACCAGGCTAAGCAAAACCCCCCTCACCATGTGGGCCTCCACCACTATATGTGATTGTTTGGCTTCATCATCTACTAATAAAGCTTGAAGCCTTGACCACGGGAAGTCGAACAGAATCTTGAATAAATGAATAAATATTAGTATATTACTTCAACTACAAGTCTTGTAAGTTGCATATTTAAAGGGAGAAATTAGAATCCCTTGCATTTTTTTCAATATATGTTAGATCAAACATTGATTTCTTTCTAAGATTTTATTATGAGGTTTTAACCAATTGCCACATCAACAATTTTTTATTTTTTAAACTACATATAATTTGTTTTAAAAGCATTTGTGGAGCAAAAAATAATCAAGAAAAATATGGATTCTTGGATGAATGAAAAAAATCAAAATGACCCTCAAGGCATACTGGAACTCCCACGCACAAAAAGTAGACAATAATGGCTCAATGAAGGTCAAAGATGATCAAAATACGTATTTATTCAAAACATATTTCATCAATCCTCATCAAATCCGACCCACAAGGCAAACCCTATTTATTCTTTTCAAATTAGGATTAATTACCAAAATTAATTGATTAATTTTCTAATTAATTTCTTAATTGATTGCAAGATATTATTTAGCAAAAAACCACCATAAATGGCCGGACCCCTTTTCTCCAAATAGGGGTCAGCACACCCCTATAAATAGCCCTCATTTCTCCCAAAAACTTAAGTCCAATTCTCTTCTAAAATTCTCCAAAATTTCTCTAAACATATTCTCTCTCAAATTCTAAATTTGGCATTGGAGGTTCTTTGGCCAAAGCCCCCTCATTCATCGTGGGTGCGTGAGGCTCTTGGCCTTGACCTAAGTTGTTAATTATTTTGTAGGTGCATTTTCGTCCAAGAAGAAGAAGGCGGAAATTTGCTTCCACAAATTGATGCTTTTATTGAGAGCTTGAGTCACAAGTTCGTAGAAGACTCTCGCGTTCAAGATTTTTTGTTTTCTTGTTCATTTGTAGATTTTTCATATGTTCTTACTAAATAAAAATTCTTAGATAAAACGTAAAAGAGAAATACAATGACAAGAGATTCAAGAATCTCAACAAACAGAAATTCCAACATTCAAGAAATGAGACCATGGCGATCCACGAGGCTAAACGCGACAAGTGGAGCGGCACCACCACCATAAAGCCCCATTATGGCAATCACCAAAAAAGCAACATCGGTCCAAGCTATGCCATTTAAGCTCACACGGGCCCAAGCCTAAGGCAAGATGGCCTAAGCAACGCTAGCCAAACCCGTTACCGAGCCGAGCCCTAGCCTCACACCCGCGTGCGGCGTATGCAATTCAACCCACTCCCGTGGTGTATTAATTTCCCAACTCAAATGTCGCACCTGAAGTTTACCATACTTTCACTACCCAAGGAGACTCATTCTGTCCAAGCTCTTTTAACCCAAACGGAGAACAACACTTATTTCAACAAGTCATAGAGTTAACAAACGCCATTGGACAACAGATGACCTTGGTGAATTAGCTCTTGCAGCGTACCAAGATGCAATGTGCCCATACAAGGTGTCCCGAAGTAGGACAAGGGCAGACGAAGAACCTCTCCAACAGCATCCCGACAAACAGCCATTCGATCAGCCACAAACTGATTGTTCCGGCAATGTACACTCTCTACTGGGCCCTCGAGATAGTGTATACTCCCGTCTTAGAGCTCGAATAAGCGTGCACTCTCGACTAGGCCCATAGACAAGCATACATTCATGGTTAGGGCCACACTCGAATGAGTGTGCACTCTTGAATAAGCCCATAGACGAGCATACATTCATGGTTGGGGCCACACTTTGATAATCAACATGAGTAGCCTTCCAGGCGAAGCGTTCATTCGCGACTAGGCCCATAAGAAGCATCCTTCAACTCACATTGGAGTAGGCAACACGACGGACAGAGAGAAGCAGTCACTTAATCCGGCTCAAGTTCAACCGTCAATCATCAACCTATAAGAAATTCACTCGCTCGCTAGGAACATACTACATGCACCGCAACCACTGCATAGATGAGCCGAACACATGGAATAGTGATAGGAGCATATTTATGCGATTTTGTTAGCTTGTTTCTTTGCATTTACATAGTTAGTTTCTATTTATTATAGTTATTTAAGCTATTTTCGTGTGTTTGTAAGTCCTAATGGCAAAGTTGGCAAGAAAGTGCATTTTGGAGCTATTTTGAGTAGTTTTGGGCATGGAATGGATAGCTTGCATATGGAGCAAGGTGGATGAACAAATTTGAAGTCAAATGAGGCTAGGAACATGCTACAAATCTGGAGAAACAAGTTCAAGACAAAGAAGATAAGGAAAGAGCAAGAAACATGGAACATTATCCAAACAACCTAACCTTATCCTACCTTATCTTATCTTATCATATCCTAATCTTTTCCTACCTTAATTCCAGCTGCAAAAAGGACTCCTTTTCACATTAAATCACCTAAATATCAGGTTCTAGAAGCCCTATTTTCATGCCTAAGTTTATGCCACATGTAACCCTTCTAGAAGTTCTAGAAGAATTCATATCAAAATGAAGCGTAAGCTTTCTCTTTTTCAGTATGGATCACAGTTTGATCCAACCGGTCCCACTCGTTATTCACCCAGCGATTGGATTGAGATTTCCTTTTCGGAATCTTCTCCATCTGAGGGAATTTGTTCTATAGGGGCCCCCCGGTCTGCCACAAGGACCATTCCTTGTCCTTCCTGGAATCTGATTGAAAGTGTCATTGTTCTTTGGTGATTTGGAGTGCTAATTCCTCTCCTTTTCAGCCCAATTTTGTGCATTCCCTTCACCCTATAAATACATGATGCCGCAGCACTCATAAGCACCACCCTTTACCACAATTTCACACCACCCCTCAAGAGCCTAAATTCACACAAATCCCCATTGTGCACATCAAGGAAGGAAGGATGAGCTACCTGGAGTGTTTCTAGATGTATTCTATCTTTGTTTTTAATGTTTAAGTTTAATTATTTTTGTTTTGCGAATATGAGGAGCTAAACTTGTTTTAGCTAGAGGAGACTTTGAAACCATGATTATATTTGCAATATGAATTGATTACTTTCAGTTGTGATTTCATAAATTGTGAATACAATTTACTTAACTGTTTGATTAAGAACTTATTCTTATGTGTTGATTAAAAGGGCCCGCTTAGTTTGCATGCATGAATTTGATGCTAGAATATAAGGGAGTTTCACCTAATTGTTATGAACTTATATTCATAAGTAGTGGAGGTTGCTAGTCACAATCGTGTTAAGTAAATTCCTGGCAAGAGTATCATGCTGTTTATAGTTACGAATGCCCTGTCAATGCTTATGATTTTCACAAGGCTTAATGATCTTTGATTGTATCTCTATTGTGCTATTCATGTAGGGAACTATTGAAGAATAATTTGGTTGCCGATGCGTATTCCATCCAATTCAACGACTTAAGGAAAATCTGAGGGTTAATTAGTGTTGTTAACGGTTAATCTGGGGTGTTAAGGTTCATGGTTTATTGGAAAACCAACTGGAAATCAATTTGTATACAAGTGTGTCATGTGTGGAGAATGACCCTTTAGCTAGCTTATCACCCATAGTTTTCCCTAATTTCGTCCAAAGTTGTTTAAGTCTTTAAATTTGTTTGTTTTTACTTTAATTTCGTCCAAATCAATCTCCCCTTTAATTAAGTGTGTTAGATTAGTTAGAAACGTGTTCAAATCTATCCAATTTAGTATTTTGAGTCTTAATAGTCTAAAATTCGTCCAAATAACTTCTTAGAGTCTGTTTCGAGTCAATTTAACTTGATTTGTGTGTTTTGAGTCTTTTTAGTTTGTTTTGAGTCATATAAGTCTAGTTAAGTGTTTTTAAGTTTTGTTTTGTATTTTTAAGTCAGTTTAGAGTAGATTAGCATCCCTTCTAATCCCCGGTATAAAACGATTCTTACTTTCATATACTACAATCATAGGGTTTTAATTTGAGTGTTAGGATATTTCACATCAAAGAGCAGCCAAGACCAGCAGGTCACGATCGGGAGCAGCCGAGAGCTCATTTACCCTAACAAAGGCAAATTCAAGAAAAGGTAGAGAGGCTCTTAAACTAGCAATTGCGCGATTTCCAATGCAATAGGGTCACTGATGATGCACTACGACGGGACATGACCAACATAAGCAAGTCACCCTTCATGGACGAGATCAAGCAAGCAGAGCCTTCACGCAAGTTCAG